TTATTAATTAGAAATTATTCAATATGTCCTAGAAAAAAAACTCTCATGAAATTACTGGTGTTCAATCAATAACAGTGAATTCGACTCAAAAAGTTTGGAAATATATCTTTTGAAAAAATCTCATCTCGTTTATGAAATTTAAGAAAAATAAATCGATGATATTCTACATACCATCTCATAACAAAAGAACGATCAAAGAAATTCGTATTGAGTGAATCAATGATTTATAAATCTACTAAAGTATTTTCTTAGTGGTCTTCTATGACGATCAACTTTTTGTGTGCTGTAACTAGAATTTCATTACGTTACAAGAAGAAAAGTCCTGAAAAATTGGTATACCGAAATTTTCAGAATAGCTATAATGGTTTCTGACGAACAAAGATTGATTTTCAGTTCTTTCTCAAGTCCACATTATCAAACAGACAAAACAATGTGTTCTTTACACTACTTGTCACACGTTCACGTTCATTTGTCTTCAATACTTGGTCTAACTTGATATGAAAACAAATAGCTACCATATAATTCTGCTAGTTCAATGATTGAGAAAATCTAAATGAATAAAATAAAATCAATCATCAATGTTAAAGAAACATGTTACAGTTTTTATTGAATTTAAATCGAAATTATTTAAAATGATTTATTTAAAATCGTTCTGTTTTTTTGTTAAACTAAATACTAAAAGATCAGTTTTACGAGAGAACTTTTTGCTTTTGCTTTACTAATTAAATTGTATAAATAAAAAAATGCATATTTTCATTGAAATGATTTTGTTTCTTTTTAAATAAATGTATAAAAATAAAATAATCTGAAATATTCGTTCTATTAACAAAATAGATCTGGAAAAAATTTTATTCAGATGTTTTTGGCAGTAATACATCAAGAATATAACTAACAAGATTTATTTCATCGATTGATGAATTTTCTTCAAAATTTCTCATTGATTACATTAGTAGAATATCTGAATAATAACTTGAACGTTCATTTACATCATGGCGGAGTCTCTTTACAAAAAAAAGCAAAAAAATAAAATAAAATAAATAAGGCAATCAATAATAAACATACAAAATTGAAAGTAAGCCTCTCATATGTTGAGATAGTGTTAAAAGTAAATTATTTTGCTATCCATTTTTGAGTGGACGTGGATGTGGATATTCGTTCTATCTACATCCACATCCAAAAATGAGAGAGATGAACGTATTTTCTGGATGATCACTCACTGCCCAACAATCAGAATATAATAGTTAGTCAATCGTTATCAACAAAGTTTTTCTTGACTGTTGGATGAAGATCGAATAATTTGTTGTTCGAATTCTTCATTTCGAACCTTTTTCTTGCTGTGATTTCCTGTTACTTTGTTGATAGAAATGGAAGCATGTCAGTTGATGATTGTATCTTCATTTCTGCGTTGTTTTTTCCATTGATGAGGGAAACGAGTAAGCTATTGATTTTTTCAATGTCAGAAATGAAAAAAGAAGCCTTTCAGATGTGTTAGTGTTACTGATGCAAACTGAGAAAGAAGAAAAACGAAAAGCGATTCAAACGATGTTGGCCTATTGCTTTGATTCGCATCATACTTTTCTTGTTCGTCAGTTTCATTATTTTTTTAACAGATACCGTTAATCACGAAAAGAGCGAATTCTGAACCATATTGAGAACTTTTCCATTTAAAGATCAAGACGATATTTTGGATAGAAACTTTTCGGTTAATCTATTCAAAATGGAACCGTTTCGCTGACATGCTTAACAAATTACTGCTGAAAAAATTTTCTTATAAATTAAGCGCAAGCAACATATGATGTTTTCTATGTGATCCAGCAAACGCAAAGTGTCAAACAAAATAAAAATTAATCAATAATAAATCACAATATTAACAGCTTTAGACATATATACGACGCAGAATCAAAGTTCTTGGAAAAAGTTGAAGAAGACAAGAATTGTGATTATACTGTGGAACGAATTTCAACAGTGCCAATAACCTTTTTGAATATACTATTCATAAACTGTTGACTGGGTTCGACAAGAATTATATTTGCATTTGTCGGATCAACTTTCCACTTGAGATATTTATTGACAATCACCTTGTAACTTGCTTGTGGAAAATGAACAAATGGAACATAGATTTCCGTGGGCTTATTGATTGTTTTATCAGCATAATAATACAAATTGAAAATTCGTTTATCGGCATGATATGTCATCGAAATAGGTCTACCAGCAATAGCACGAGCATAAACGCGTGACAAGCGTGCAATCAAAGCCGTGCTACTGTAACTATTGCCCCAGTAAGTCCATGATTGAAGATATTCATCGGCTTCGAGCATACCTGCTTCAAGTTGATTGTCACATGTTGATGAACCATCGCATCCACCGAATTCAGTCAAAAATCCAGCACCGCCCAATCGAAGAAGTTCATTCTAAAATTATATTCATCAACTACAACAATAGAAACAAAGATTTGAATTACTTTCACAGATTGAAAAACAGCTGGTCCTTCAATGTCATTGCAAAGCACGCGGTCAAAAACTGGTATAGTATCACTGCCCGGCACAGGATTGATTGCTAAGACAGTGCAATAGTAATGATAGGAGAGAACACTTCGATCTCGATAAGCCTTGCCGCCTGGGACATGAGAAAATCCGGTGCCAAAAAGTTTACCATTGAGTCGAACTTGAGACAAATAAATTCATTGTTGATCTTAAAGAAATCTCTCTTTCACGTTTTACCTACCTCCATAAGTGACGGGTTCGTAGAAGATGAGTGTCTTATTATCGACTGATCGAATAGCATTAGCAAGTTTGTCATAGAATGGTTGTAAGTTTTTGGTACCAGCAACGCCAGGCAAGAGTAATGTTGGATCGGCTACATAATTTCCAGCCCAAGGTTCATTAATTAACTCGTATCTATTCATTTTCTCATGGAAAAATAAATAGAAAAATAAGAATTTGAATACTTACCCAAGTATATTCGTATATCGGCCAAAGGTCGTCGCTATCAAACGCCAAAGATTACTCATCGAATCAACAGCACCAGCAACATTGTCATACAAACATTGAAAACCATGCGAACATGCTTCTGTCAGATAGCTAGAACCAGGGAAAAAGAGAAAGACATATTGAAATTTTCGAATTTCAATGCTTACATACCCCAAAGCCCAACTGTCATCGGATGGAGATGACGGAAGTGGCCAAGGATCTACAAATGAAATTACGGATCTGTCGAGCAAAAACACAAAAGAAACATTGTGATCAGACTATTTACATGGATGATTTGGTGGAGGAAATTGATCGTATAACCATGCTGGAATACCATCATAAGGTCCAACTCGACTACTCAATACATCCTGATGCATATCGAATAAAACGTCAATATTATTCGATTCGAGTGATTCGACAATTTGTTTCATTATATTTAAATAGGTTACATTGTATTGTTGTGGTTTTGGTTCGACACCAGCCCACATAATGCTATATAGAAAAAGAGAATGTTTGTATGTAGATTATGAAAGAGAATATAAAAGCAAGAAGAAAATTTACCCGAGTCGAACGACATTCATACCAGTTTGTACTAAGTTAGTAACAAAACTGGAATCAAGTAATTCTGATGGATACCATGGGAATTCTTTGCGTACAAAATTAACGCCGTGATAGAAACGTACACGATTTGCTTCATCAATTATGTGCATATCAGCAGTGTGCACATCTGCTGAACCATCACATGTAATGATGACAAACGAATAAATGAGAAATACTATTAGCAGCTTCATTTATGAAAAGTCGTTTTCACGAGTGCCTTTGATCGTTTCATGACTGACATATATATATACATATTGTTTAATCCTTCTCTATTTGAGATAAAGTGAAGTACCACTCGGTTATATATTATGATGTCAACAAGCAATAAATCGTTTCTTTATGATGTTCTGTCGAATTGATATCTTGATTGTGTTGAAAATAAATCTAGAATATTCTTCCTTCATGACATTAATGTGCTGTGTTTTTGAAATTATAAACCAGTTGACCAATAATAAATGGTCGTACTTTGCAATTCATACTTTAATCTCTAAATAAGTTCTATTAAAAACATAATATACCATCAGGTGCAGCGTGAAAAGCTCTACGACCTACATAGTGAAGAGTGCATAATTTTCGAAAATAAAAACTAGTACACCATTAAGTTAAGATTTTCGTGATGCAACGTATGGTATATTCTGTTTGTTGATAAAACGTATTTAGAGATTAAAATATGCAATGCAAAGTGCCGTCATTCATTATTTGTCACTCAATATTTAGTGCCTAATGTGCCGTGAACACACTAGACTCGGTATAATGAACCATTAATCTGACACACAAACAAGGATGAATATAGCCATGCTTTTACTCGAAGCGAATTCGACCAGTTTATTGTCATCCTTCGAATTCTCATCTAGCACATAGTTTAAAGATTGTATTACAAGACCCGACGCTTCTGATCCGACCATAGCATAGTGGGAAGTCAGGCGGACATATATGAAAATGTTCTTTACAGAATGTAAACACACATATATATGTGATCTATCATTTCCTAGAATAGCATTCCCCAAAGTTCTATGATGTCCTAGCATATCAAACGTTTTGCCCATAAATTGACATACATAAAGAAAGCCAAGGAGTTCGACAATACAACGTAATATTTGACGAGCAAACAATATCATAAAAGAGTTGCTTATCTCTGACTTTATCTTAAAAAAAACAACTATCCTATTTGCATTTAAAATAGAGGAGAGAACAGAGGCTTTCTGAGACGAAAATCTATATAATAACTTGCGGTTCCGTATTTTGTTAAAAACAGTTAGCATCCGATCGAGCTCAAATATTTACCACATACTTCTACATATGTATCTTAATGATGATAGTTTTAAATAACACATCAAAATAAAGTTGCTCATTTAACAACCTTATGTGCTGTTAAAATTCGTTAACGATTTTACTACTGAACGAAAAAATGTGTATCATTGTTTTAGCAACTTGATTTTCAAAGTCTTAAAAAACTTTCAAGAGAGTCGAGTAGATTCGTCAGACAGTTATGATATAGGCTGCGGAAAATAATCTTAATGTTAAGACGACTCTAGAAACACGATTAACGAATTTATTCGGCCTTTGTAAAAGTGTATTAACAGTTCTATTCAGTACTCGTCCTCCTAATATTTGTCTTTCATTTTCTAATCTGAATTTATCAGTCCTCTAGTTCGATTACAAAAGCTCCTTCGATGCGTCTTTTCTCGAACAAAATATCTTTTATTTCATCGCCTAAATGTTTCTGTGTTTTAAGTCATCTGACTGTCTCACTGTTATTTACTGACCGAAAATCAGATTAGAACTAACTGGTATCTAGAAGCTATTCAAGCGCAAGTCTTTTAGAAATATTGCAACTCAATGGTTACACTTAAGTATGTTTTTGTGTCTGCAAAAAACTTGGTCTAACAACATACCGACATCTCTCTGACCAGATCCAATCTATTTCGTTCAAGGAGAAGCATACATGGCATGAACTATTCTAATCGACCTAGATGACTAATAGACTTAAACTAGAAAAATATAAACAAATATAGGAGATATATATGAGGATCAGTGGAACGATATGAGAGGGATACTAATTGCCATTTTACATCTCACTCAAGAAATCACCAAAGACAAACAACAGAATTGAGATTACACAATCTCAAAGATGTGAATGTGATACGAAGTATCGTTTCATATCTTACTCTAGATTTGATAAGAGAAAACAAAAACAAAAAATTTATTTAAATGGCCTGATTCTTGAGTGTGGAGAGAAGGCAAAGTATCATCTCACTCAGATGAACAAGGCAATGGATTAAACAAAAATATTGATGGACAAAATTATTAGTCTTGTTGGTGTGAATTTGATACTTGATATTGATTTGATTTCCGTCAAAGGAACATGAGCGATGGATACCATTAGAAAAAAAAGACATTAGCTAAGTCTGGTGACTGTAGATGTGATGCTAGAATGACCTCACTTAAGAGAATACGAAGGATGAATAAATTTGAAAACAAGTGAGAGATTGAATAAGTCTTGTTGCAGCGAATGTAAAACAAAGTGCGATTTTTTTTGTAACTGAAGCAATCGCTATGGAAAAACAAAAATGATAAAAAAGAAAATGAAACACTACGGGTCTCATGGATATGGATGCGATGTTCAGTTTTCTTTTGATCTCACTCAATGGATTACAAATGAAAAATAAAAAGAGTAAAAATTAGACCATTTAAGTCTCATCATTGTGTTCTTTGAGGATAGTTAGAATGAAAAATAATTAGACTACGTGAGTCTCATGCATATAGATAGGATGTCAACTATTGTTTTGTCTAACACAAGAATCACTTGTGATGAATGAAATAGCTTAAGTGTTATGGTTGTTGATGTGGTGCTCAGTATTCTTGCGATCTAATTCAAAGACTTACTAGTGAAGAATAAATAGAAGAAAAATACATAAAACTGTAAATGTGCCATAGGTGTAGATGGAAAGCTAAGTATTGTTCGATCTATCTCAAGCATATCTAAAGAAGTAGAAAAGTAAGAAAAAGAAATCCTAGTTTATAAGTTTCGTATGTTTGGTTGTAATGGAGGATGGAATTTTTTTCTACGCGTATAGGAGTGTAACACCAATGTCCGCTATCCATGTTCGTGTTCATATCGTTGTATTGTCATGACGCTCGAGAAAAGGGATAAAGTCGACTTTTACACAAGTGATTTGTTAAATATTTTACTGATTCTATTTTCTTTTTGAATAAGGAGAACTGAAACAGTGAAACACAGCGTTTTTTATTTATAACTTTTTTCCTCAAAATTCACTATAAAAAGCCGTTATTGTCCGTGCAAATTCCGTTCAAAAGTTGAAACAATTTTTAACAGCAGGTAATCATTAGCTAACGATGGAAAAGCCGATTTTAGATCTTAGTTAGTTATTTAGACTAAATTAACTAACGTCTGAAAACACATTAAATATGTGAGCTGATGTATATAACACTTTTTGAGAATTTTTCATAAGATGTTATTAACCATATATAGAGTCAATTGTGTTAGTGATTGATATTGTGCTACAAGGACCTAGATTATGCTTATTATACACGGTCGTGTACAACACCGTAAAAGATCATATATCCTAATTGTGGTACTTTGTGTTGGATTCCTTTTATAGTTTCTTGCTGTATTATTATATTGTATTTTTTAGTATTCTCCTTTTCATGTCTTAAATGCCTAATGAAATGATCTTTAGTATACATTTTGTTTTGCTATTCTTTTATACGCTTTTATTGTTGATACACTAAAGTATATATAGTTATGTTGTCGTCAACAGCAAAAATTTTAATATTCATATTCTTAGCCATTGTCTAAAAGCGTAGCAGATATTGAATTACTTTATAAACAGCATAGCTAAATCAAGCTATGAATTCGACGAAAATAACAGTCATGAAAGTGCAATTATGATAATTATCATGCAGGTTTTTGTTCAACATTTTAGTCAACAGTTTAGTATGTCAATACTTTATTTGAGTTCTTTAGAATATAGTAATATTCGAAAGTAATGTATCCTATCATACTGTCATTACACAATGGAGCAATACTTGTCTCGATGAAGAGATTTATCAAGCAAACAAGACTTGTATACTAATTACATGAGTATCTCTTTCGGTTTTAATTGAAAACTGGTTCTCGAAATCATTTTTAAAAAAAGAGACATTTTCAAAGTGTCATACGCAAGAATAAGAGTTTGCATATCAACTTATGAAAGCAAAATTATTGTCCTCTGTAGAAGATTATAGAAATTGATATTCCATTCCTAAGAACAATTTTAATTGTAGATGAGCTATTATCTTATAAAACAGCATCAAATTAGAAGTCGGAAGTACAGACGTGAATACTTGATATTTTCATCGATTGTTGTAGCACGATCGGTTAGAATATAGTCGAGGGTTAAGTGAGTCGAGGCGACGACCATTACTTGCATTAATTGATGTTGTTCGAAAATCACTAAAGAAAATGACATTGTCATAATAATGAATGTATGATTCTCATCATTGCCACTGTTATTGTCGATTCAATATTAATGGTTTTTATTTTCTTTTCTCGAGCTTATCTTAACAATGGCGTGTTCACACCGCTCCATCTCAACGAAAATCCACAAATGTATGAGTCAGATATCTCAAACGGATGACATCTATGATGAATGTTCTTTCTATTTAGATCCCCTCAAATATCGGTCACCGAAGTGAAGTCATTTCCATACGTGAATGAATTATTTATTCCAAGCTTTGTGAGCAGTTTGAATCTAATCGATCATAAAACTTCAATGTCACTGCGTGTTCCATTATCATTATTGACAACAATCTCGATTTGTAGTGAGCATAACTTGAGTGTCGATCAGCTTGAAGCAACACTTCGTTTAGCTACTAATGTTCATACAGTGGAATTGCTCGGCGGAGCAGATATTCTATTCCGCATCATGCTTCGAAGAAATCCAGAAGTATGCACATCTCTCGACCGATACGTAAGCTTCTCAATATTCTATTGGAATTTAAATATCTGATTTCTATTTATTAGATATATGTGCACTACATATTGATGATATTACACTGACAATGCACAATATGAGACGATGTTGCAAATCACTAATTAGTCACGCGA